GTGTTTCTTCATTTATTAGTGCTTTTCTGTTAATGTCTGTTTGACATGTATTTCAACATGATGACTTTATCTGAGATCACCACATGACTATAACAATACTGTAGATATGAAAATACAGTCATTTTATTTCATAATAAGTCGTTTGTGGAAAAGTTGCTCTTGGAAACTATTAAATGTTTTGATCTGGTTTGTACTTTTAAAAAATGTTTTGGGTTTTTAATCTAAAATAATGTAGTTGACTGTGAGGATGAAAATTTACTACAGTAAACCATATTTTCTACATAAATTATTAATATACAAAAAATAATACTCTTTTACTAGTTGTTTAACTTTTTTGGGCTGAAACTCCGGTTATCATGGTAATTTCTCATAGGAGTGAAAGATACTACCACATGTCATGCTTTTCATGACTGTCATCACATTTCTGTAGAATTTGATTAATTCTCACAACAGCAGTTTGAAGCCACTGAACATAATAATAATTCTTTACATTTATATACTGTAGTGCTTTTCTAGACACTCAAAGCGCTTTACACATTCAGGGGATTTTCCTCATCCAATATCAGTGTGCTGCATCCACTTGGACCAGCCAGAGCGCACACCAGCTGATTGGCTGAACAGAGTGATGAAGCCAATAATGATATGGGGATGGTGAGGAGGCCAGTGGACAAATTCGGCCAGGATGCTGAGGTTAAACCTGGCATTTTTAACAACCACAGAGAGTCAGGATCTCAGTTTAATGTCTCATCCGAAAGACGGCACTCACTTTGCAGTATACAGTCCTCTTCACTATACTGGGACATTAGGACCCACACAGACTGCAGGTTGAGCGCCCCCTGCTGGCCTCACTAACACCATTTCCGCAGCAACCTAGCTTTCCCATGTGGTCTCCCAACCAGATACTGATCGGGCGCAGCCCCGCTTAGCTTCAGTGGGCGACCATGTGAGAGTTGCAAGGAGCTAGCTGCCAGTGTGTGGAATGTATGGAAGAACGTAGTTGAAGGTAAAGCTTAATTTACACACACACACACACACACACACACACACACACACACACACTCACAATACTGTATATATGAAAATACTTAATTATATTTCATTACATCATTTTGTGTAAAATCTTGACATTTTGAGAATGTAAAGATTACTGGTTGAAATTTTACTACACTGTAAAACCCAAAAAATTAGGGTAACTCAAACCATTTAAGGAAACCGATTGGAACAAACCATTCAAACTCAAAAACTGATCTTAATGAGTACTGTGAACTTAAAACATTTAAGTAAATGAAGCATTTTGAGCAGAGTAAACCCCCAAAAATGAAGAGAACTCAAACTAACTGAGTACTGTAAAACTCAATAAGGCAACTCAAACTTTTAGAGGAAACTGATTGCTACAAACCATTTAAGTTAATAAACTTATCTATATGAGTACTGTGTACTTTCTCCATTTAAGTTGAAGTAACGAGATATTTAAAGGGCCATGACCCCCCCCCACTTTCGGTTAAAGTCTACTTCAGAATTTTTTCAAAAGATGCATGATTAATGGGCGTGGAGCTCCGCGAGCACAGGGCAGGAGTGGGCGTGGCCAGTAGGGGAGAACGTGAGCGAACGAAGCTAGCTCACAACATGAGACAAACCGTGAGGAGACGCATGAGTTTATAGTTTACAAAGTTAAAATGCAAAGAAATGAACAGTGGTTTAATGCCCTGCTACATTTGTTATTCGTAATTTCATATACACATAACCACAATTTATATCATTATAAAGATAAGTGTGTTCATGTAAACACTATAAATGTGGACTTCTCCCTCAATCCCCGTATCCAGCAGACTCAGTGCAGCAGGTCTCCTGACCCGTCTATTTTAACCGTTAGCCCTGCTGGTAATCTGGAGGATTTAGGCAAACACAGCAGCACGGCGATGTGTCTGAATGTGAACGAACTCCTGATAAAAGACAGCGTCCGCCATTCTCTAATTCTCGTGCTGCTCTCCCGACAAAAATGCTAGCAGCACGCACACAGCTTTGCTGTATGATCGGCCCTGACAAGATCGCGGGGGAAAACATGCAACAAACCGCGTGGATGATGGAAACAAACGCATATGAGCCTTCATGAACGGCTTAATACTGTGTGCCCATGCCGTGAGTCCGTGACGTGTCTCACAGCTCTGGCTTGACTCTGGCAGGTCTCATGAATAATTAAGCAGCCGGCTCTTCTCATAGGATAAGGAAACTCCGCTATGAATAATAATGAGAAACCGACGCGTCATCATTGCACTTGCAGTTCTGCGCTACGTCGCCGATTTTAATCCCGCCCCATGTGTCCTGAACCTTTAATTAACCCATTACCTTGAACACTGAGTTCAAAACTCTTTTCAAATGAGTAGAATTAACATTCAGTAAATTTTAAGTTAACTACACTCATTTCATTTGATGAAGTTGACTGTTGGGTTTTGCAGTGTTTCTACTGTGGTTAGTTTTTTTTTTATTTTATTTTTTTTGCGTTCAATTTTTGTTGGATGAAACTCTTTTGAATCAGAATCAGTTTTATTGCCAAGTGTGCTTCACACTTTCAAGGAATTTGTTTTGGCTACAGAAGCTTCCAGTACATAAAGTGACAACACAAAATAAATATGAAAGAAAAAGATGAAAAACATTAAACAGATGCATTTAGTCAAGAAGTCTGGATGTTGAGTTGTGTGTACAGATTTGTTATAAATATACAGGTTATACGGTGCTGTGTACAAATGCGAATGTAGAACGTATTGCATTGTGTATATTGATGTATGGTGCTGTGTACAAGTGTGTATGAGAAAGTATTGCACATGTTTATTGCACAGTGGGGGATATTTGACTGTTCATAAGGTAGATGGCCTGAGGAAAGAAACTTTTCCTGTCTGGCTGTTTTTGTGCTTGGTGCTCTGAAGCGCTGACCAGACGGTAACAGTTTGAACAGATAGTGTGCTGGGTGCGAGGGGTCCAGAGTGATTTCGCGAGTCCTTTTACTCACTTTGGAAGAGTACAGTTCTTGAAGTGTAGGAAGGGAAGTGACAGTGATTCGTTCAGCAGTCCAGACTATTCGCTGTAGTCTACAGAGGTCGGTTTTGGCAGCTGAGCCGAACCAGACAGTGATTGAAGTGCAGAGGAGGGATTGGATGATGACTCCCATTATAGCTGGTGTGTGGTGAGTGCACTGGCGCTGCTGTCGTTGCATAATCCAAGTGGATGCTGCACACTGGTGGTGGTGTGGAGAGACCACTCTCATGATTGTGAAGCGCTTTGGGTGTATGGCCATACATGATAAATGCACTATATAAATACACATTACATTACATTACATTACATTACAAGTGCAGTGTGTGGGTGAGAGGGGGGCAATGTTTCGATGTGATCCGGTCATGTTGTGGTTCTGTGAAAACTGGTGTTGGTTGCTGTATGTTTAAAAATAATGACGATTAACGTTACTAGGTTTATTTCGATTTAAAATAAATTAAAATATTCATTGAGTATATTGGGTGGGTGTTGGACAGCTTTTGAGCTGGAAAAAGTCAGCTATATCTGGCAACACTGAGTTTGGAGCCCATAAGGATATGGAATAAACATAATTGAAGTTAAAGCTCAAATCACACACACACAGGATTAAAGTAACTAGGTTAATCTTGATTTAAATAAATAAAATACAATATTAATTTAATATATTGGGCAGATTTTTGTGCGTTTGAGTGGGTTTTGGACAGCCTTTGAGCTGGAAAAAGTCAGCTATATCTGGCAACACTGAGTTTGGAATCTATTAAGATATGAAATGAACACAGTTTGAAGGTAAAGCACAAACACACACACAGTTAAAGTAACTAGGTTTATTTTAATTTACATAAATAAAATAAAATATTAATCTAATATATTGGGTGGTTTTTCGTGCGTTTGGGTGGGTTTTGGACAGCTTTTGAGCTGGAAAAAGTCAGCTATATCTGGCAACACTGAGTTTGGAGTTCATGAAGACATGGAATGAACATAGTTGAAGGAAAAGCTCAAATCTCTCACACACACACACACACAGACACACACACACACACACACACACACACACAAAGTAACTAGGTTAATTTTGATTTAAATAAATAAAATATTAATCTAATATATTGGGTGGTTTTTGGACCAGTTTTGGGCTGGAAAAAGTCAGCTATATCTGGCAACCCTGAGTTTGGAGCCCATAAGGATATGGAACATAGTTGAAGGAAAAGCTCAAATCTCTCTCACACACACAGGGTTAAAGTAACTAGGTTAATCTTGATTTAAATCAATAAAATAAAATATTAATCTAATATATTGGGTGGGTTTTGAACAGCTTTTGAGCTGGAAAAAGTCAGCTCTATCTGGCAACACTGAGTTTGGAGCCCATAATGAACATAGTTAAAGGTAAAGCTCAAATCACACACACACACACACACACACACAGGGTTAAAGTAACCAGGTTAATACTGATTTAAATAAATAAAATAATGATCTATTATGGGCGAAGCGGTAGTGCTGTCGCTTCACAGCAAGAAGGTCGCTGGTTCAAGCCTCGGCTCAGTTGGTGTTTCAGTGTGGAGTTTGCATGTTCTCCCTGCGTTCGTGTGGGTTTCCTCCGGGTGCTCCGGTTTCTCCCAAAGTCCAAAGACATGCGGTACAGGCGAATTGGGTAGGCTAAATTGTCCGTAGTGTATGAGTGTGTGTGTGTGTGTGTGGATGTTTCCCAGAGATGGGTTGTGGCTGGAAGGGCGTCCGCTGCGTAAAAACTTGCTGGATAAGTTGACGATTCATTCCGCTGTGGCGACCCCGGATTAATAAAGGGACTAAGCCAACAAGAAAATGAAATAATCTTAATATATTGGGCGGATTTTTTGTGCGTTTGGGTGGGTTTTGTCAGCTATATCTGGCAACCCTAAGTCTGGAGCCCATAAAGATATGGATGAACAACGCATAATCACAGACACGCACACTCACAGTCAGACTCGAAGCAATGAGTTTTAAATGAAACAATTTATTAAGGAACTTTTAATATCAGAAAAATAAAAATCTTAATTCTTTTTTTACAGCAAATATATAATATCAGTGCTTTGGCCACAGGACAGTAAGGCCATTTATCATAAAATATATTTGAAACTTTTAAGAATACAACTTATCTGCCTTCATGTCCCTGCATATATGTATATACATAATAAAAGAAGAGTCAAATTATCAAAGACAGAAACATCGTTGCAGTGTGATGCTAAAAATCCCTCCGATAAACAAAACTCCTAGGACTTTTATTTTGTTCATAGCGTAGTATTTATGCAGACGTAATGCAGCGTAAATATATTGGATCCTTGGCTTTTTTTGTCTGTTGCGTTTTAGGAATCGTTAGATAATAAAACATGCAGGTGTGCTCTTTCCTGCTCTATAGTACCTAACGGCAATACTCTACAAGCTAATACTTACATCTGACTATCGCCAGATTATCTTATATATAATCATTATATATATATATTTGAATATGAAATATAAACTACAGAAATACTACAAAATTGTAAAAAAAAAAAAGAGTCAAGGTTAATCTTGAGCATTATGGATGTCATGCCTTGGTTTCTCTGAGTTTAGTGGTGATCGTGAAAAAGAGAGGCGCCGTTAGCCGTGTCAACCTGCACTTTGAGATCATTATTATTATTTATAAATATCAGGCCGTGGATAACATTGCTTCTCTCAGGTCAGAAGTGATCAGATATAACTTGCTTTTCTGGCCTGGCAGGACCTGTTTAGTTAAGGCAATGAGAGGAGTCGTGAACATATAATGGGGACAGGTTAAAATAACTCCTTCCCTTGTTTTTGTCAACAAACCAACAAGCTACAATGAAGTAAACGCAGCCGTGATTAAAGAAAATCAGGAATCGAATGAGATCACAGGAATGAATTCTTAATTTGTGGCCACAGTTTAAGTAAAACGAGTACAATTAGCAACTGGATTAAGCACAATGTGGTTAGGATTTATATATAATGGATATATATAATATAATGGCAATATATATAATGGATCACACTCATGATTTAATAAAACAAATAAAATTCTTCATTCACAGCCACAATTGTACTAATAAGTAAAAAAAAAAAAAAAGCTACATTTTGTTAAAATGTGTTAAATTAATTAATGAACTTCATATTTTTTGTAAAAATGGGCTCATTTGAGTTGAGTTTGACCATTTTTGAATCCATTCAGCCTGTCTCTGCATCTGGCGACGGCACTTTTAGCTTAGGAAAATAATCAGAACTCAATTTTTAAACAAGATGCTATTGGTCTAATCCGATTCAATGATTTGTGCTAAGCTAAACTAAAAGTGTTTCCGCCAGACCCAAGAGATCGGCTGAAGGGATTCAAAAATGGTAAAACTCAATTGTTTAGCTGTAGTGGAGTTATAGATTGAGTGGAGTGTTCCTTTAACAAATGTTTTATTATTGACTACGATTGGCGAGTAAACGATTTTTACTATTTACTCAAACGAGAAAATCTGGAGATGGGCTGGGTATATTTAAAAATGATGAAAATTAACCGTTTGACTATTGCGGAAAATGAGCCTAATCCCCCCACAAATAGCAATTGGATTAAAGGGAGTGAGCAAATTATGGCTAGGATCTATTAAAAAATATAATGGATCACACTCATTATTTAATAAAACAAATTGAATTATTCATTCATGGCCACAATTGTACTAAAATAAGTTAAAAAAAGCTAACTATGGCTACAATTTATTAAAATGCATTAAATCAACTCAAGATTTTTTTTGAAGTTGAGTTTGACCATTCTTGAAACCATCTAGCCTATCTACAGGTCTGGCGATGACACTTTTAGCTAAGGAAAGTAATCAAAACCCAATTTTTAAACAAGATGCTAATGGTCTAATCTATTTCAATGATTTGTGCTAAGCTAAGCTAAAAGTGACCCAAAGATCGGGTGAAGGGGTTCAAAAATGGTAAAACTCAATTGTTTAGCTTTAGTGGAGTTATAGATTGAGCCTGTTTCCAAGAAAAAAGAGGAGTGTTCCTTTAACAAATGTTTTATTAGTGACTACGATTGACGAGTAAACGATTTTTACTATTTACTCAAACGAGAAAATCTGGAGATGGGCTGAGTGTATTCAAAAATGGTGAAAATTAACCGTTTGACTATTGCGGAAAATGAGCCTAATCCCTAAAAAGATAGCAATTGGATTAAAGGGAGTGAGCAAAATGTGGTTAGAATCAATTAAAAATATAATGGATCACACTCATGATTTAAAAAACAAATTGAATTCTTCATTCATGGCCACAATTGTACTCAAATAAGTAAAAAAAGCTAATTATGGCTACAATTTATTAAAATGCATTAAATCAGCTCAAATTTTTTTTGAAGTTGAGTTTGACCATTCTTGAAACCATTTAGCCCATCTACAGGTCTGGCGATGGCACTTTTAGCTAAGGAAAGTAATCAAAACCCAATTTTTAAACAAGATGCTAATGGTCTAATCTATTTCAATGATTTATGTTAAGCTAAGCTAAAAGTGTTTCCGCCAGACCCAAAGATCGGCTGAAGGGGTTAAAAAATGGTAAAACTCAATTGTTTAGCTGTAGTGGAGTTATAGATTGAGCCTGTTTCCAAGAAAAAAGTGGAGTGTTCCTTTAACAAATGTTTTATTAGTGACTACGATTGACGAGTAAACGATTTTTACTATTAACTATATATTACTATTTATTATAAAAGGAGAAAACTAATTCTTAATTGGTGGGCATGATAAATGTATACTTTTAGCATTATAGGAAAATTATTGAAAATAATTTGTGTGTGAGATGCGAATGGTCTAACTTGATTTAATTTACGTTAAGCTAGGCAAAAAGTGCTCCCACCAGAGCTGGAGATCGGCCGAGTGTATTCAAAAATGGTGAATACCAACCGTTTAATTCTAGCTGAGCTGTAAAATGAGCATATTGCCACAAAAAATAGCAACTGGAATAAAAGTATTGAGCAAAATGTGGTTAGGATTCATTAAAAATGTAATAGTTATTCAATTCCTCATTCACGGCCACAATTGTACTAAAATAAGTAAAAAAGCTAATTATGGCTACAATTTATTGAAATGTGTTAAATGAACTCCATATTTTTATGAAAACGGGCTCATTTGAGTTGAGTTTGATCATTTTTGAATCCATTCAGCCTGTTACTGGGTCTGGCGACGGCACTTTTAGCTTAGGAAAATAATCAAAACTCAGTTTTTAAACAAGAGGCTAATGGTCTAAAGCAGGGGTCACCAAACTTGTTCCTGGAGGGCCGGTGTCCTGCAGACTTTAGCTCCAACCCTAATCAAACACACCTAAACAAGCTAATCAAGGTCTTACTTGGTATACTTAAAACATCCAGGCAGGTGTGTTGAGGCAAGTTGGAACTAAACCCTGCAGGGACACCGGCCCTCCAGGACCAGGATTGGTGACCCCTGGTCTAAAGGCTGATTTATACTTAGTCAAGTTTTATACTGCGTCAAGTGCACACGTATGCACGGTCGCATATCCCTCGCCAGGGTGTAAATGTAACTACACATCGCAACGAATCGTAGCGGAAGCTCTGTAATTGGTCAGCTTGGTAGCTGTGACGAGCGTGGGCAAAGCTGAGAGCCGCGAGCCTGATGGAGCGAGTGTTTACAAGTGTTTGTTTTGTTTTGTGTTTACCTCATGATTAAAGTTGTTGCACGTCTGCACTTGTAGCGTTCAGAAAAAACAAAATACCCACGAAGAAACTCGACTTAGTGGAACATAACCTACTGCCAGCTAGCATTTCAGAAGTGTTATAACAGAGCAACACAAAGCGCACGCAGAAGAATAAATGCACAGCTACGCGCAAGGCATGCGATGTGGGTCACGGCGATCACTGGATGCAGAAGTATGAATCAGCCTTAATCCGATTCAATGATTTATGCTGAGCTATGCTAAAAGTGCACCTGCCAGGCCCAGATATTGGCTGAAGGGGTTCAAATATGGTCAATTGTTTGAGTCTGTTTGCAAAAAAAAAAAAAAAAGGAGTGTTTCTTTAATTACAATTGAACCCAAATGAGTGAGTAAATAGCGTCTACCAATACCTAAAACGAGATAATTAAATCTTAATTGGTGCGCATGATAAATGCATTCTTCAGCATTATAGGAAAATTATCGAAAATCATTTTGTGTGAGATCCATTCACACGGGGCTTCAGCGTCAACGCTTGAGTCTGAAGTTGGGGCTGAAGCGATCGTCATAGCAGCATCAGCCAATGAAATTCAGTCAGCAATAGGCCCCTGTCTAGCTGGTGTCTTTGCATACAGCGATCTGATTGGCTGACGCTTCTGTCAGCGCTTGAAAAGTTGAGCTAGTCCCAACTTCTGCAGGAAGCAACGCTTCTGATGCGGCACCGACGGATTCACAATGCAGGTCGGCAACACCTGACGTCACACATTCAGATGGAATGTGAAGTGTTGACGCTGACGCCCTGTGTAAATGGGGCGTAATGGTCTAATTCAATTCAATTTACGCTAAGCTATAAGTGTTCCAGACCTGGAGGTCGGCTGAGTGTATTCAAAAATGGTGAATATCAACTGTTTAACTCTACCTGAGAGCTGTGCTAATATTAAAAAGTATTATTTTAACAACTTTGTGACTACGATTTAAATAAAAACGAGTGAGCAAATTAGCAAAATGATTTCATTTAAGATTAATGAGCCGTAGATGCATTTTTCTCATGTCATGTGCCGGGCTAGTTTTATTCATATTATTATTTCGTTCCTTTATTGTGGACGGAGGGATCTCTATCGAACGACCTGAATGCAAAATTTGGTTTTATTTCTGAAACGCTAGCAGAACTCTCGTTTAAACTGTCTATTTACATCTAATTCAACACGTCCAATTGAAGATCTGTTCATTCTGCGGTCCTTAATTTGGTAGCGCATAAATATATATTGAGTGTGTGCAGGCATCAGAGTGATGAGCTGAGGGTCAGGACGGCTCTGGTATGATCGCATGCTTCTCGACTCTAGTGTTGCGAAACGGAAACTCAAGGCCACAGATGCTTTTGCAGCAACAACGCCAGTCCATCACCAGCATGGAATCAGGCACATGAAAATGTAAACACAGAGTCGATACCTTGAATTTAAACTGAGAAACAAAACAAAACACATGTAGGTGATGGCTATTTAGCGCTGCTAAACTCCAGCACTGCTTGCCACAAGCAGCCAAACATAAACAGGGAAATCAATGGCGATTATTGACCAGAAAACCTGCATTTCTCAGTTACTTAAAACGTAATATAAAGAAGGAAGTATTTGAATGTAAAAAAAACAAATCAGTTTGCTCCTCGTGATCCCATATATTTGCTTCTCTACTCGCTTTGCAGGATGGAGTTGGAACACTCCAAACAGATGCGGTTTTGCCCTCCCAAAACAAGCGCCGGCACTTTTTCTCCACAGCGTACGCACGCAGGAATTTGACTATGTTTGGTGTAGTTGTGCACATCCGGCGGAGAACTAGAGCCTGTGCTGTCTGCGCTTGATGGAGAAAAGGCAGGACCAAACGCCGGAAGGCTCTGGGAATTCTCCTGCACCAGCCGAACCAGCGGATGATCCAGTGCCTCGGGAAAAGACGGCGACAGACGGGATGGAGAAAGCCTCGGTGTAGTTGGCAAACTCGCACCTCCGCGCTCAAAAGTGCTCCATAATGCTGGCTGCGCATTAGTAGACGGAGCGGTCATCATCAACCCGTCGTATCCCAAAGAATCTTCAGATCCCAACGGCAGCTGGGTATCACCAAACCAGAATGTACCACCGGTGCTTCCAGGACTGAGATCCGCCACCCCGCTGCCCTTCCCACTAAAGTAGGACTCACTGGAGTTGCTTCCGAGTGAGCTGGAGCTATCGTTTCGATATCCTGCAGCATTGCTATTGAAGCTCCCGTTGGCGAATTTGGAAATGCCTCCAGAGAAAAGCCAAGCGCCACTGCTTCCCGACTCAAATCCGACGTCGGTGCCGTTATAGTGGAAGTCGTCATCATCTACATTGGTTTCCACGCTCCCGGCGGTGCGCATGGCAATATGAGCTTCGATTTCCTCCCGAGCTCGATCCACATTCTCCGGCATCCCGGTCACCTCGAACACAGGCTCTTTATCACGGCTCGGCGTCACGATGTAGGTGTGGGTTTGCTGCTGGATCCTTTTGATAGTCGCTCCTTTGGGTCCAACCACAAGGCCGACCATTCGATACGGCACCCGGACCTGGATGGTGGTCTGTCCTGGATGGCAGGGAACGCTGTTGTGGCCCACATTTGGCGCTGCTTTGTTTCGAGTCGCCCGGATGAGGGAAAAATGCTCAGCCGCTGACAGAATCTCACGCTTGGCCATGACTACGTCCTCCTTGCGGCCGGTCACCACGAACACCGGTTCTTCTCCTCTCACGGGTGTTTTAATGTAAGTGTTGGTCTTGGCTCTTAGAGCCTTGATTTTGCAACCTGACGAGAGTAGAAATACAAACACAAGTCAACACATTGCTGGCTTAAAGGGTTAGTTCATCTAAAAATGAACAATTGAAACTTCGCTAAGCCACGCCCAAAAACCGCCACACACCAGTCATGGCTTAGCAACCGTAGCTACGCGCAGGAGGCCTGTCAAGCTTTCGAGCGAGAGAAACACGCCAAAGCATTGTGCATATAGATTGTGCAAATCTGATACCAGCTATCCTAAAAGATTGGGCAGGGTGATGGAAAACCCAAGGGGAGAAATGCCAGCATGGATCAAGCTCTGTGAGGGGCGCTAAAAGAGCGGAGTTAAGTTAGTTTTGATACTCCTGACACATGATAGATGGCAATAACTCACACACCTCATACCCTAAAAAGATCTAAACTGTGTTTCCCACAAGAACACAAAGCAGGTTATGTTTCCTAGCTGTCTTTTTCTTTTTTCACTCGATATTATGAGCACTGCTTCGTTTAAGCCACAGGTGTCAAACTCAGTTCCAAAAGGGCCGCAGCTCTGCACAGTTTAGTTCCAACCCTAATTAAACACACCTGATCAAACTAATTGAGTCCTTCAGGCTTGTTTGAAACCTACAGGTAAGTGTGTTGGAGCAGGTTTGGAACTAAACTGTGCAGGGCTTCGGCCCTCCAGGAATTGAGTATTGACTTCCATAGTGTTTATTTTTCCTACTATGGACATTAATAATTACAGGTTTTCAGCTTTATTCAGAATATTATCTTTTGTGTTCAACAGAGTAAAGAAACTTTTTTAGCGCTGAAGCTTCCTGAGGGTTAGTAAATAGTGAGTAAATTTGAATTTTTAGGTGAACTATCCCTTTAAAATGTTTCAGATGATATCCGAGAGCTCTCTCTCTCTCTCTCTCTCTCACTCTCTATAGACCTTTTATAGTCTTGAGACTTTCAATGTCCTGAGAAAGAACAAAAAATAATGTAAATATATCCAATGTGACTTTTAGTGGTTCAACTGTGATCAGACGAAGCTCCAAGAACATGTTTGGGTGCCAAAAACACTGTAATTGCATATATCTTCTGCGAAACTACAAGCAGAACAGTGTATTGATATTAGAGTCAGCAGTGCAGCAAGTAAGGGTTGTACTACCTGTAGTAAACACACCCTGATTAAAAAAAGACACTGGAGAACAAAGCTGTTTATTTTTACTGTTTTTTTGGTGCACAAACGTGTTTGTGGAGCTTTGTATGATTACCGTTCAACCACTGAAGTCACATTCAAAGTTTCAGCAATGTTTATGGTGCTTTTTCGGTACTTTTGGGCGCACTCACACTATGCTATCTGAACCGTGCCCATGCGCGTTTCCGGGATCCCTCCTGAAACCCCGCACTGCACGACAGCTGCACCTTCAGCAAACCTCCTAATTCCTGCAGCACGGGGACTTTATGATTGTTTATGAGCGTCAAAAGGCGGCTGATCTGTTTGGCGAAATATTTGACTGCATGGCACCGCATCCCAAACGACTAAAACAATATAACTAAAGCAATCTCCACGGTGCTGAGCGACAGCGCTTCTTACTGAACAGCGCATCATCGATGACTTAAGCGTGCTTCAGCCCAGTTCAAGGCAACTGTACATAGTGTGAGTACGCCCTTTTTCAGATCAGAGAGCTCTCAGGCTTCCTCTAAAATATCATCATTTGTGTTCTGAAGATGAAGGAAGGTGTCAAGGGTGTATTATTATTAGCATGACACAACATGTCATACAAAGCAGTGAAGAGACATGACGTCATTACTGATATAAGCAGGGCAGCAGTAATCTATAATGCATAAGTCTCAAACTCAATTCCTGGAGGGCCGCAGCTCTGCACAGTTTTGCTCCAACCCTGATCAAACACTGCAGATCAAACTAATCGAGGTGTTCAAGACTGCTAGAGACAATTAAGCAGGTGTGAGTTGGAGCTAAACTATGCAGAGCTGCAGCCCTCCAGGAATTGAGTTTGAGACCATTGCTATAGTGTACATAATAAATGCAATTCAACAAGGTCCACGAGAGCATATACTGTAAAACAGAAGATTTGCTTATTTTAAAAATACTAAATTACTATTTGTTATGAGCATTTACCTTTTTCTGTTTTTTTTTTTTTTTTTTACTTTACTGGCCACTTTATTAGGCATGCCTGTCCAACTGCTCAGTAACGCAAATTTCTAATCAGCCAATTACATGGCAGCAATCTGGTCAAGACGATCTGCTGCATCAGAATGCGGAAGAAAGGTGATTTAAGAGACTTTCAATGTGGAATGGTTATTGGTGCCAGACAGGCTGGTCTGAGTATTTCAGAAACTGCTGATCTACTGGGATTTTCACGCACAACCATCTCTAGGGTTTACAGATGATCATCTGAAAAAAGAAAATATCCAGTGAGCGGCAGTTCTGTGGGCGCAAATGCCTTATTGATGCCAGAGGTCAGAGGAGAATGGCTAGACTGGTTCCAGCTGATAGAAAGGCAACAGTGACTCTCTCAAAATAAGCACTCGTTACAACCGAGGTCTGCAGAAGAGCATCTCTGAACACACAACACATCCAATCTTGAGGCAGATGGGCTACAGTAGCAGAAGACCACACCGGGTGCCACTCCTGTCAGCTAAGAACAGGAAACTGAGGCTACAATTCACACAGGCTCACCAAAACTGGACAATAGAAGATTGGAAAAACGTTGCCTGGTCTGATGAGTCTCAATTTCTGCTGCGACAATCAGATGGTCGGATCAGAATTTGGCGTCAACAACATGCCTCGTATCAACTGTTCAGGCTGGTGGTGTAATGGTGTGGGGGATATTTTCTTGTCACACTTTGAGGCTATTAGTACCAATTGAGCATCGTGTCAACACCAAAGCCTAGCTGAGTATTGTTGCTGACCATTTCCATCCCTCTTTATGACCACAGAGAGATTCGCATCATGGATGAGCAGCCGACAACTGCGTGATGCTATCATGTCAAAATGGACCAAAATCTCTGAAGAATATTCCAGTACCTTGTTGAATCTACGCCACAAAGGAGTAAGGCAGTTCTTAAGGCAAAAGGGGGTCCAACCCGGTGCTAGTAAAGTGTACCCAATAAAGTGGCCGGTGAGTGTATATATGTATATTTGTACTTGCCTGATTGAATTTTTTGTATAATTCTTCCGTAAACTAAAAACTAATAATTAAATGTTTATTGTGCGCACATTAAAATGTTATCTTACATAAATGGGTTTAACATTACTATGTATATTTGTACTAGTCCTATTGATATTTTCATGGGCCTCACCTAAAAAAGAAAATAAAAAATATATTACAATGCAATATAATATAACCCATATAACAGCAGGGCTGGTACAACCATGAATCACTGATCCAGCTGACCCAGCAGAAAAACAAACTAATTGTCGAGTCCTTCCGTGTCTGAAAAGTAAGATGAGTCACAATATGAGAATATCAAACATGACACATTAATGATCAAACAAACCCACCCTGCCTGCCAACTATTTCCGCCACGTGCTCAGATGTGGGCACCATCACACACTCAGTAGTGTTCACACTCTTCCTCCTGGTATTGAGCGCACACCTCTCTTCCTCCTGCATCATCATCATAGCCATCATCATCCTCCCCTGGTAGCCCTGAGAATAGAGGTAGAGTTGCTTTTTATTCGCACATTCAGATTCCTTCTCATTAATAACATAACTATTTTTTTAATGCCACAATATTTTTTTTAATTAATAACATAATAAAACTAAATTATTCTTACTTTGATTTTTCTTTTGTTTCTAGTCCAAAAATCAACATTTATTTCAAAGCAAAAACAAGATTAAGATCCCACTGGCAGATAGTTGAGCTTGTTTCAAGGGAAAAAAAGTCCTAATTTTGCCTTATTTCTTCTGAAGTTGAAAACAAAACAATATTTTTACTTGATCAAAATTTTTTTAGATAATACAACTAGAAAGGAGACCAAGAAGAGCATATTTGCTAGGGTGTAATTATGGATCATGGTTGATCTGTGAATGTCACAGATCACAACCCATGATTCAGAACACATGTGACCTGTAAATTTATATATATATATTTACTTGTAGATTAATCCTAAATTAGTAATAATTGCAGAGAGATTGCCTTTCACATCCTTCAAATGATATCTATGAAAGCATTTAGGCTTTCCTATAACATAATGATGATGGAAGAAGTTGTGGATGTGGTGGGTTTCTTAGAAGGTGTTGGATATTAATTTGTGGGTTATTAAAGATGTTTTCTGTCACTACTTTATAAACCGCATTAATGCCTTCAGTGTAAAGCCTGGTTTATACTTCTGCGTCTAGTGACCGGCATAACCCACGGCGCAGGCAACGCACGTGGCTGTGCATTTATACTTCTGCGCGCTGTCTCTGTTGGTCTGCAATGCATTTACACTTCCGAAACGCTAGTTGGCAGTGAGGTGTAAATGTTCCTCTGTGTTGAGTTTCTTCGCTGATGTTTTGCTTTTTCTGAACACTTCCGGGATGTACAAGTGGCTTAAACTCGCTCATTTTGAGGCAGGAACCGGCGGACGTGCAACAACTTTAACTATGAGGTAAACACAAAACAAAACTTTCCATTCGGAGCTCCTTCACGGAACTCCACACTTGTAAACAATCGCTCCATCAGGCTCGCGCGGCTATTTGGCCCGCCCAGACTTGTCAGCGCTACCAAGCCAACCAATCACAGAGCTTATGCTACGCATCGTTGCGACGTGTAGTTACATTTTTTGAGAGGTGCACGTCAGCAACGCCGACGGCGTAGGGTTATACATCGACGCGTAGGCTCCGCTGTAGCATACGCGTGCGTTTGAAGTATAAATCAGCCTTAAGCTGCATGATTAATCATTAAAAGATCAGGATCTCAACACCCACACAACAAATTATAAAAGATGGTGATTTGCATATGTTTATTAATCTTTCGAATCGCTGCATTCAAATCTGTGTTTGAAAAGCACAAAAACCAAAAAAAGAGATTCAGTCTGTAGTCTTTTTGGTTAGTTATGAAACCCCAAAGTCAAATAACACAGAAGTACTGGGAGAACAGTTTATAGTTTAGATAAAACCACTGATGTTTATGGTACAGATTACAGTCATGCTCAAAATTAAAGTTGTAGGTAGCAATTACATTATTTAACCAAAAGGTAGCGGCAACCAGCCATCAAAAACATGCCACTGAATAATCCCTCACAAATGATGCATCTAGCAATGAAACATGAAGTTTTATGAGTGAATAAGTGAATAATTTATTGAAGATGAGACTAAAAATAAATATGGATGTGCAAATTATAATGTTAGATTTAGATATTTAGAGTTATCAGCAACAGTAGTGTTCTTCACAGTACTGAATATTTTACAATTTGTTTTTATTCAGCTGATTATTTCTTCCTTTTATTTTTTATATGTTAATTGTTTTTGTAATAAATAGAAATCTGTCTCTTCTCTATTTTTGGCTGATCTGAAAAATGGTCCCATCCGTGACTTAAAAAAAACCCCATGTGATCCAAACCATGAGATTTGTGATACGTTGCACCACTATTTGCATTGTGATTGTTTAATTTCTGAACCTGAATACTGTCAGACTCCACAGAAAAACATCAAATTCAAATGGAGCCATTAAAGCTATTATCTTGTGAAACTGCATTCATATCGCAATATTTAAATCACAGAAAAATAAAATATCGCAATATCAGATTTTTCGGTAACACTACATTATAACTACACAATATGAATCGTTTACTAAGCATTAGCATCTAGTGAATTCATTATCTTTTAAGCATTAACTCTACATTTATAAGTGTTAGTAAGCAGTTTATAACTGCAGCTACACATTCTCTATTCTTGACTTACAAACATATTTAAAATGTGTTTAATAATTGTATTTTCATACTCTGTTAATGATTTATTTTTCATTACTAAATCGCATTATTTACAAACCATTTGTATTTAAGAGTAGTTGAGGGTTTTAAGGATCATTCAGAATGAGTTAGTAAATGATTAATAAACTATTGAAATCAACATTTATATATGTCTTATTATTCAGGCATATATTAATGGTTACTATATATGTTAATAAATGCTTTATTAACTCAACTTCATCTAGTTTTGTTACCTAATCTAAACTGAGGACTATTTATGCTTTATAAATCCTTTACAAATCACAAATAAAGGCTCAGTTAAATTCTAAACAGGAAAAATGACATTATTCGTTCCTCTTCATTTAAACATACACAAATGAAGCTGTACTTCAAATGAAAAATAAATCTTTGCAAACTTACCTAAAATAGAATCACTGTAGAGTTTAAACATTGCATCTTAATATATTGTTAAACTATTATATTGTTGTTGTTTTATCCAGTTTTATGTCGTATTTTGACACTCCTGTTATTTGGCAATGGTTAAACTTTACAGTAATTTTACTTTTTAGAAAAGACTGCAAAAATTATTGTTCGTTTAATTCTGAGCCCTTAATTGTTATTTATAAGGGATTTATAAATCATGAATAGTCCTCACTTTAAATTAGGTCACAAAACTGCATTTATTAACATATTAGTTAACTATATGCCTGAATAATAAGACATATAAATGTTGATTTTAATAGTTTATTAATCATTTACTAACTCATTCGGAATTATCCTAAAATCCCTCGACTACTCTTAAATACAAATGGTTTGTAAATAATGCAATACTTAATTTAGTAATGAAAATAAATCATTAACTAAGTATTAAAAAACAATTAATAAACACATTATATGGGTGCTTTTAAGTCAAGAATACAGCATTTGTAGCTGCAGTTATAAACTGCTTACTAACGTTAATAAATCTAGAGTTAATGCTTAACAATTAATGAATTCACTAGATGCTAATGCTTAGTAAACGATTCAATTTGTGTAGTTATTATAAAGTGTTACAAATTTTTCCAATGGCGTACAGCTCTAGTCAATATTATGAGCCCCCTTTAGCAATATTTTTTTGATTGTCTACAGAACAAACCACTGTTATACAATTACTTAACTAATCACCCTCACTTTAACCTAATTAAGCCTTTAAATTACACTTTAAGCTGAATACTAGTGTAGTATCTTGAAAAATGTCTAGTCAAATATGAAGTGCTGAAATCAGTTATTAGAAATTAAAACTATTATGTTTAGAAATGTGTTAAAATATTCATTAATAACTCAAAAGGGCTAATAATTCCAGATATTAATAAAATATCATATTAAAAAGTACCGGTAAACAATATAGAGAACAAGTTGTCACTGTTAAAAAAAAGAAACAGATGTGAGAATGTAAAACCAACTTTAACGTTACCTCACTGCCCTGAGACTCGCCCAGTCCATCCTGGAAGAGCCCATTGGGCCCCGGGGCCTCCATTCCTGCAAGGGCCCGGGCCCTCAGCTGCTCCAGATCAGAATCATGCCTAAAGATAATAGTGTTGCTGTTGTTATTGATGCTGTTTTCTTCATCTGATCCACTTTGGGACAGAGGCTGGAGCTCCAGCACCGCGCCCAGAACCCCCAGATGGGATGATTCGGATAAAGTCTCGTCGTCCCGCAGATGTAAGCCGCTCAGGGTGTGTACCGGTACCGGGAGGTCCGGCTCGGTGTCGTCTGACTCCAGAAGCTGAGCTGTGTTACTGGGCATGCTCGACCAACAACGTGTCCTGCTTTCACTGCGGGACACACACAGACCAACAAAAGTGACACGCAGTCAGTTAACGAGTTACGATGCTTCCGTATTTAAGTGTAGATAGAGCGAATATGCGATTCGTAAACTCGGAGAAATGTATTTGGACTTACAGCTGATGTTTTTTGAGCAGAGGCAGCGGTGGTTCCGTGACCCTGTTCTGCTGGATCTCTTTGTTTACGGTTCTTTGGGGATTCTCGCACTGGTTAGTGAACAGCTGATCTTTGAGTGTAGCGCCGCACTGAGGCGCGGATGAACTGCGGTTTAGCCATTGTGTACTGTACTACTGTTTGTACAGCGGGGAAAATAAGTCTTGAACACGTCATGTTATTTCCTTGGATTTCTAAAGGAGCTGTTGCGTGGGATTGAACCAGATTTTGGTAAAAACTCAAACAATACAAGCATAACATTTTTTTAAATTGTTGTGTAATAACAATGAAATGGCACAAGGTGAAAGTAGTGAACTACTGAAATGTCTTTTAGCCTATTGACACCTCTCACATGGAGAATAAAGTCACATGAATTGCTTAGTTTTTCACAGACTTCAACAGATTGAAAATCTTGATGGTTCTGTCGGTCTCGTCTATCAAATCTGTCCTTTATTTTGTATTTTCTTTAGGATTCCCCTGCTGAAAAATCCAACTTAAACCAGCCTAGGCTGGTTGGCTGATTTTAGAGGG